CAAACACTCTGAAATGTTTGTATTGGGCTTCCAGCACAAATATCAAGCAGTACAGCATGCCGTTTCCAAATTTCTGGCTGAGTGAATTGTGTGGTGGTGCTCTTTTTCTCACAGATAGTGCCCAAATGACCCTACTATACTGAGCAGTTGACAAAATCAAAAACAAACAATGCACATGTGAAAATAAAAAATGGCAACAATTTAGCCATTGCACACTGTAGTTTATTAAAGACCACAGACAGACAGACAGGATGCTACTTAACTTTTGTTTGTGTAAAAGAACACAGGACTAACTTCATTGTATTAGATTGTTCAGAAAATAATGCAGGTTTTGTCATTGTATATTTTAACCTTTTTTTAATGTAAAAAAACATGCAAAAATTATATATTGCTTTAAAGGGTATTTTATAAACTTTTTTGTCTAAATGATCCACTTTTCCACTTACCTCCTTTATGAATATAATCTTGGCTGTAATACAGTTCAGGCAGTTCAAAACATTAATAAAATTTGGAGAGAAGTATCTGTTAATGGATGCATAGTGCAACATTGGTTTTAGAAATTTTGTCATGGTAAAGCCAACCTTGCGAGATAAAAAAGGTTGTGGACGTCAGCCTTCATTGAAAATGAGATATTGAAAACATCAATGGAGGCAAGACCACTGTTCAAGGGATTGTAAGAGAGCTAGGTGCAAGTATGGCATCAATTTTTGAACATATGAACAAAATTGGAAAGTTTAAGTAGTTGGACAAATGTGAACCACATGAATTAAATAAAAAACAAAAGAATCATTATCATATCTGTTCAAATCTTCTTTTGCACAACAAAAATGACCCATTTCTCAATTACATTGTGACATTGTGATATGACAAACAATAACATTCAGAGCAATGGTTGTATCAAACAGAAACTACTAAATACTTCCCAAAGTTGAAATTCCACCAAAAGAAGGTTATAATGACTGTTCGGTAGTCTAAAGCTGAATTGATTCACCATAACTTTCTGAATTCTAGTAAAACGATCACAACTGAAAAGTATTAACAAGAAAATCAAACGCACCAGAAATTGTATGACGATGCTTGGGCACATGTTGCACAATAAACACTACAGAAATTGAATGAATTGGGCTACAAAACTGTTATAGTGAAACACACCTATTCTATAGTTAATAGACTCTCCCACCTATAATAAGTAGGAGTAGTAAGAGTCGCTCAGTGGGTTGGGAAGTCAGTTGATGCCAGACGACCATTAGTCGGATACTAAAGTATCAGCGACCACAACTAGATTTACTCTGCGTCATACATATTATATCAAGTTCCTAACATTTTGTACGTCAAACCTATTTTAGGACCGACTTAGTACAAATACAAGCCTCCATTGTGAAACCACTCCCCAACAAAAACACTGCCTCATCCACCTTGTTCACCTGATCTCTCACCAACTGATTACCACTTTTTCAATCATTTGGACAACTTCTTACAAGGAAAAATTTTCAATGATTCAATTATTGTTCAAAATGCCTTCAAAGATTTTCTTACCTCCCAAACTTCAATGATAGTGGAATAATTACATTTTTTTTTTTTTTTTTTTTTAACAATGAGGTTCATCCTGTACAAGGCCCAGGTGTTACTTGAGGTAGAGGGTTAAGTAAGTGGCACAGTTTATGTGGATGGGTGGGAAAGATAACAGTTAAACCTAGATTTGAACAGGTTAACAATATGGTGATCAGGAAAGCATCCTCTTGGGAGTTAGTTCCAGAGATCAGTGGTTTACAGGAAGAAGCTGTTTGAGTGGAACTTACTTCTCACCAACAGCATTGCAAAAATGTGTAGAATCTAATGGCTCTTACTTTGATTAATAAAAATTCTGAAGTAAGAGGTATCATTTTAAAAATAATAGTTACAAACCTATTTTATTTTTTGAACAAACCTAATATAAAGGGTGTTCCAATAACTTGGACCGATTTTAAATGTGAATTAAGTTTAAGCATCTAATGATGTTTTTCTTCTTTTTTTTCAGATTTAACAACTTAAGTCTTTGACAATTTCAACCATAGAAAGATTAACAATCAAACAATGTGCTAAAGTTAACGAAGCATATTATGAAAATGAATGTTCAAACAATTTGAATGAGAAGTTCCCAGGTCGCATCATCTCTCGAACAGTGAATTCAATTGGCCACCATGATTGTGTGATTTGACACCTTTAGATTTTTTCCTTTGGGGTCATCTCAAAAGTAAGGTCTATTCCAACAAGCCAACAATGATTCAACAGCTGAAGGATGAGATAATAAGGCATATTGGCGAGATCGAGGAGCAACTATGCAGAGACGTCATCAAAAATTTTGACCATCAAGCGAAGGTGTGCTGCTGAAACCTTAGCAGACATTTCGGTGATATTATTTTTCACATATAATTGCTATGACTTAAATAACATGATCCAATAGAGAAATAAATTTTCACTAATAACACTGATTTATTTACTGCTGATTTTGATCCGTTTTAATGAAACACCCTTTATAAGTACAGTACAAATATTACAGATGTAATACTTTTGTCCAAATGCTTAGCCATTACCAAGGTATTTAAGATGTCTTAGAGGTATTAAGTTTTTTAAATTTAGCATTCAAACATTTGTAAATTATGATGGAATTTTTCAATGGACAGAAACTACTACTTACATTTAAAATCCTTGTGCTCAAATTGAAGATTTTTACATAGATTTTTTTAGTTTCACAGATTCTAGTGTCAATATTCTGTATTACAAGTGAGACAATTTTGTCTATAAATAAACAAGGGATTATTAATCATATTGTAAATAAATATATTAGTTAAATTATTAATAAATATAATTATTAAATTATTAATATTTTTTTATTTTCAGATCTATAAAGATTGCTGTATTGGATCATAAGAAAGACTGTCTCAAAAGATAAACAAGATAAAGTAAAGTTAATGAACGATGGGAGCACAATGTTGGAAATTGCAAAAAAATTGAACAGTGAACAATCAAAAGAAAAAGTGCAAACATTGACAAAATAAGAACAAGAAAAAAATCTAACTTTAAGAATATTACAGAAAGAGATTTGAGTAAAATTAAAAGCATATTAGGAAAGAAAACTAAATTGAATATCAAGTAAATATTCTAAGAAGTCAGTGTAAACAAAAAGAAAAGGCACAGAATATCAAAAACATTGGCAAAGGACACAAAGTCTACGAAACTACAACCTTTAAGTAAGCATCATGAAAGGAATTTGGGGCAAAGAAGTACCTGAAAACTGATTTCTCAAAAGGAATTTTTAAAAGATGAATGTAGAGCTACACTGGATAGGCATAATGGCTGGGACAGAGGTTGGGACTTCATTTTATTTATTTATTTTTTTTCAATCATTTTACTCAACGCAAGGTGATAATTTCACCAAAAACACAAGGAGATATTTGGAGTAAAAGATAATGAGAAGACAGTGAAGAGAAAGGATAATAAAAGAACAAGATACAGGAAGATAGAAGATGGCGATTAGCACAGCATTTAAATTTTTGAAGACTGTAGGTGGCAAAGAAGCAAGAAATCAGAAAGAGTTCCACAGGTGATAAAAGAAGCTATTAGAATAGAATTTATGGTTAGATCTAGCAAGTTCAATAGTAAAATGGTAAAACCTAGTTGCCAATCTAGTAGTAGGTTATAAAAATATAAATAGTGGTAGGTCTTGAAAATAGGCCAATTTTGTGATGCACACAGAGAGAGAGAGAGAGAGAGACTTCAAAACTCATTAAAAAGTCAGGGATGGATTCAACACTATATTTATTTTATGAACAGAACCCCAGTCCTTATAAAATGATAAAATTGATATTTTTAAATTCCAGCAAACATGCTTAGAGGAAGATCAAATGAATGCCAATCTATTAAAATTATTTTGTTTAAATTTCCCTATTTTTTCCTTAAATGGATCAATTAATCCCAATAGTGTTTAAAAATAAATGCAAAAAAGCAACAACTCAAAAATACATATTATAAATTGATAAGCTTTTTATATTTGTTATTCGGACATGTTTTCTTTCTTTTCTTTGGGCACCTTTTCAATAAACATTTTCCACTGACATGAAGTGAAATGTTTATATTGATTGTTAGGAAAGTTGGTTCATTGTCTTGTGTTAGACAATTTTTCTTGCTAGAATCTATCTTACACCTTTATAAGTCTACCATTTGTTCGTGCATTGAATATTGCTGTTACATCTGGCCTGGTGCTTCTGCTATGTAAATCCAAAGAATCTGCAATGTTATTGGTCATGACCTGGTATCTCAGACACAATCACTTTCCCCACCACCATAACTTAGCTACCCTGTGCCTTTTCTATAAATATCTTCATGGCAATTGTTCTAATGAGCTTTTTTCTTTGATAGCTTGACTTTGTTTTAAGTGCAGTACTAGATTGGCAGGTAGGTATCATTATACTGCTGAAATGACCAAATGTACCTAAAAGTTCTAACAGTTTCTTCTCTTTCACTTTCACTTGTGGAACTCTCTTCTAGCTTCTTGCTTTCCAATCAACTTTGATCTTAAAAATGCAGTGTCAATCATCACCTTCTGTCTTAAATCATGTTCTTTTCTTGTCCTTTCTCCTTAATATCCACCCACCAGATTCTTTCACACTTAGTAAACACTTGCATCTTAGTGGCTTTATCACTTTGGTTGGGGTGAAATGATAAAAAAAGAAAAAAGAAAAATGTTAATTCATCAACAGAATTGTTCCATTTGTGGTAGCAGCATGATTGTCCCATAAAACTCACACATACAAATGTATATGAAATAATAAATAGGTGAAAAATATCCAATTTATGTCAATTGGTTTCAATTCACTTACCTTAATTGTTTGAACTGAAAATCAAAAGTGGTTTATAATCAACAGTAATAAGAAAGACATCTTTATTCACAATGACTGGTTAATAATGAGCAGGGAAAAAAAACAACATTTTTCTTTAAGAATGTTATGAATCCAACTTACCCAGTTAAGAGACAAAAACATTTTAAGGTCAAGAGGGTCTCCACTTAACTGACCCTCAATCATGGTCAAGGAATGACAAGTGGCCATGCAGATCGTAAGTGGACAATTTGGCATTTGGGTGGGGTCATACACTAGATTCTGAAAACTGGAGAGGAAAGAAAGAAAGAAACAATTACTATTTTTTTGAAAATTTTTGATTTGTCTTTTATTTCTGCTACTCTTCATCAGAATTCTCATGGCTTTATTAAACAAGTAGTTTAGAATGAATGATTTGCTTTTTATGGTTTATCAACCCTTTATGAATTATTTAAAACTAAAATATATTTTGGATTGTAAGAATATTTTTTTATTTTTATAAGTAAACATTGCATTTTAATTTTTTGAGAATATGATTTTTCAAAATACAAGTTTTACTATTTAACCCATAGCTAGAGGGAGGAGATGGTTTCATAACTCTTCCTAGGGTATTTGAATGTAAATGAATATAGTGAACACAACTGGAATTGCAAAGAACATACTTCTGTTTTAAATACATGTTATTTAACGTTGGCTCCGAAGCCTAATTTCCCTTGTTGTTCCAGGGCCCCAGCTTAACTAATTTTGGTACAAGTGACTTTGTTTTAACATTGAAAAAGAATTTGTTTGAGCAAGTTTTCTTACATAATCTCTTAAGCATCAGGAAGAAAATTATTGTCCATAATTAATGCAATTGTTACTGAAAGAATAGTGCTATTAAACCATAACATTAACCATTTATTATGGGCCATGTGTGTAGTTCTTTCTTAGTTGTCTGCTACTTCAGTTGGACATTAAATATGACATTTTGGTACACTAGTTATTTTTCCTATTTTCTTTTTCTTCCACTCTCTGCCAACCTGTATATATGCAAAATGGCATGTTACAACTAATAAAAGCAGAGTAGTGCAAAGGTAGACATGGGACTTTGAAGATGTCTAGAAAATTCTAGAACTAATGCTGTCACTTCCAACAAATTTGTTGACAGTATCTTCCTAACAATGATGTTTTATCAATATATATGATATTTATTGAAATCTAAATTGCTGAATAATGGCAACATCTATCTATGAAGTTGAGATGAAAGCCAGTTTGATCTGCACAGGTATAAACAGTCTTGAATTATGAGCCATGTTACCAATTTGAAACTTTAAGATAGCCCATCAGGCCAATTTGTCAGATAAGGCAAAATGTTTAATAACTTTAGAGATTGTAAAAGGTAAAACAATGCCAGAAAGTACAAATCTATTCAGTAGGAAGTTCATTGATGATTCTGGTTAATTCATATGCAGGTCTGGTCAGTTAAAGACTATATCTTGCCAATCTTTGTCCTATCTCAAGAAAAGGTGTAAAAATCTGCCTTTGAAAAACTGAAATTTTTAGTCATTGTTGCAGCAAAGATGTGTCAAAAAGTACAATATATCAGGTTCTAATACCATGGTTTTATCAATATATAAGACGAGTACTTATTGAAATCTATAGACTTATTTGCTGAATAATGGCAACATCTATTTGTGAAGTTGAGTTGAAATCTAGTTTGATCTGCAGACGTGTAATGGCAGCTATTTGTATGAAATGTCCAGAGTTTTAGAATAACAGCCATATTGAAAGTTGGAAGCTTTAACCCAGCATTAGTTACATGAAGTATTTTGTTACTCCATTTTTAAAGTACTTGTAATTCCTAGTTGGTAACTTGTTTCTTTTGCTCCCTTCCACTACTCTCCTGACTCAATGAGGGTGTGTAGCACATAGTGTGGTGCATTTGTATCTTAGATGTCATGGGAGGCAGACATCAGTTTCTCTTCTTCAGGGTGCCCTGTCAACCCACCCAACAGATGAACATAAGTTTTTATGATTTATATTTTTATATATATATATCCAAACAAGTTTGATTATAAAGAACCAACCAGGTTGGTTTGGTTAATTTTTAATTTTCAGATAAGTGTGGAGTATTATGTTTTAAGTTGTGGTTAAACTGTCTGAGGTTCATATTTTGTTATTTTTGTTCAAGAACTTTTGATTTTCTAGTTATTATCAAGAACCGATGTGGTGTCAGTGTGGTAGCCTTAACTCATTTGCCTGCATCTTGGTATTCATTAAAATGATGGGCATGAACTGCAGGCAGTTTATTCACAACTTTGATCATAATACTCAGCATCTTATCTGAAAGTTGGAAAAGTATAATAAAAAATTAACCAGACAGACCTACTCATTTTATTATAATCAAACTTGTTTGGATGAATACCTGCTACCCAAATATACTATATTTATGCTCTAGAAATAATTCGATTGAGCTCTCGGAGAGGAAGGGATGATTTTATAAACAGTGGCTGCTGCTGCAATGCTCTTTTGCTCGAATTGAGCTCTCCTAGATACTGACTTCTTCTGCATAAGAGAAATGTTAAAATTTTTCTTTCGCTCTGGCGTGTGATGACAGCTTGGGGGTAGAATCTCTGACTGATCAGTCGGGTTTTGATTCTGGCTTGAAGCAATCAAATGTCTAGCCACACTGATGGCTGTGATACAGCAAAAGTCTGTCTGTGGATGACTATATATATATATATATATATATATATATATAGTGATTATTTTTGATCAATAAAAATTTTCTCTATTATTGAATTGGTGTGTTTCACCTACAATTTACAACATGCTTATGCAACAAATTAATTATAATTTTCATTTCAATGAATAATTATATCTTCAGTTCAAGTTTTGATTTAATGTATATTGTAACAGAGATCACCTGTTATGTCATTTTTTTTAGCAGTACAACAATATTTTACATAATTGTAACACCAAGCATTTTTGTATTGGGGTGTGTAAACATCCTATAGGATTATCCATTTTCAGAAATCCATGGTAACTAATACAGGGTTAATGAATTAAGATGAACATTTAATACAATGTTTGAAATTGCAAAAAGGATTAATAAATAAGATCTAATTATCAAGAAGTTCATAGATCCTAGACAACTTCAATACAGTTCTGATAAAGGAAAGTAGACAACTATTCCCATTGTTTGTGTCCAGTATCAAAAGAGAAGTTATTTCTTTGTTTTTGTGTTCATCCAATACAAGGCTCAAGAGCCACTGAAGGTAGAAGGTTACTGAATTAGGTTTTTGGATGGACGTAAGAGGATGAAGTAAATGCAGAATTATGAGGATATGTAAGATAGATAACAGTTGGCTAATCTTAAAGAGGTTAAGATTGTAATGATCAGAGATGTATCCTCTTGGGAGTCTGTTCCACAAAGTAGATGTTCTCAGAAAGAAACTGTCATGCTATAAATTCTTTATATATTGTGGTAACAAAATAGTGTTATATTTTAAAGTGGGATTGTAAATGAGGAAGTGGTGGTATTAAGATGGCAGCTCATATACCAATTTGTTTTTTGAAGGCATACATGATGTCATGGTTCAAGAAGAAACTTATTGCTTTCAGAAAGTTAGTTTTATGTACTATACTGCTCCATAGCAGTCAATGAAAAAAAAATTAATGAAAATCTGAATAAAGTGGCTTTCAAAGACACTAGTTTGATTAAGTGATTGCATGACCTTAGCTTAAATTAAACACGTGGAGCTTCTAAAGAGTAAGGTTTACGTTGAGGGATGGCAATTTATCAGCAAAGATAAAACTCTGAAATGTTATTCTGGATGCCATGTAGTTTGTTTAAATGGATGAACAACTTCTAAAACTAGTTTCTGAGCATGACCCAAACATTTCATGTTAATGTTGGTAAAGTTTAACAAACGTACCCACAAAAAGATAGTGTGTCAAAAGGACAGTTTTTTTTGCATATCTGTCTATATTTCTGAGATGAGGTAATTATTTACATTATTTCAAGGACACACAGACCAGTGGATAAAAGTGTTTGTTGGATTCAATGACTTGACCCAAAGATTTGTGAGTTCAATACCTGGCTACTTCAGTAGTGAACAAAAACTTGGAGGGTTCAATTAAAGGGAGATAACTGAGACATCTGGAATGGCATGTGGAACTAGAACAATCTACTCCAGTGGACAAAATAAAGGGTTCAGTTCAAAATTCCAATCACCTAAAAAAGGCTGAAGTGTACAATGACCAAAACAGTGTGAATATGACAATAAAGATGAGGACAACAGAGTAAATACTTCCTTGGCAGTTTTTGTTATTTTAAAAAGCTGTTTAGCATTTTGATTTATTAATTTTCTTTTTTCTTGGGAAATGTCAAGAAGAATATTAAACACTATTACAAGAATAATTTTATATTTACAAAATTATAAAAATGAGAACTACAATGTAATATTTATCGTATTATAAAGAAATAACTGGAAAATTGTTTTATCCATAAACTTATAAAATGTCTGAACAAGAGAGCAAGAAAATTTAAACAAACACATAATGATGAGAAACTGTCATTATAAATTTTGAAAAAAAATGCATTTTCTGAGCATTAGCTTTTGCCATATATAAATTCACTAATATAGATTGAGAGCTGAAAGAAAAATGTATAAATTCAGTTTTATATGTTTGGGTTTTATTAAAATCCTAAAAATAGTTTTTTAAAGAATCAAACTTACTGTGAGAGCATACAGTAATAGTAATGTCAAGAGAAAAACTGTCCTTTAACACATCCATTTTTTTTTGCAGGTACATTTGTTAAACTTTACCATAATTGTCTTTATATCTTATTACTAAATGACATTGTTGTTTTTGTAAAGTTTGCACATGTTCTAGAATTATAATTTTTTTTCAACTACAATGTTTCTTTCAGTTTTAGCTGAAATATGGGAAATATTTAAAAAAAAATAATTAAGTAACCATTGTCAAATTATAAGAATGATGTTTACTCTGAGAATTTATGCATATTATATGACATGTCTTTCTTGAAATTGTGCAAATAATTACATGAATCTTTTTGGCTTTTTAAAAATATGGGAAAATTAAAAGTGGCTAATAATTTGAGATGCAGTGTATAGTGGACATGCATAGCTAATGATTTTACAATAATGATTGTAAAATGGAGAAAAAAAGAATGTGATTGTTCAAGATTAATTCTAAGTGTTACTTATATAGTTTTGTCTTAGTTTGGAGAACTTTGATAAAACAGAAAAAACAGACAGAAACTTACTGGTTTTTGTCATTTGGTATAACTGCCCACAAATCTAGACCATCCTCTGTCAATGTTCCAGTCTAAAAGTAAAATTGAAATATGAGAGGAAAAAATGCATAAAATAACAACAAAGTATAAATAAGTTTTATGTTTAAAATTACAATCAGAAATAGTTAAAAATATTTTTATCAAAAAATCTTCAATGAATAGACAATTCAGATTTGATTGTCCATATTTTCAACATGCTAGATACAGGATAATTTCAATACATATAAGAAGCCTACAACAGAATGGTGGTTGAAGGTTTTCATTCCTAAAATATTTATTCAATTATTTAAAAAAAAAAAAAAAAAAAAAACACCCATAAAAGAAAAAAAAAAAATGATGTCTGGAGAAAGAGACACATGAGTAATACATATGTGAATACAATGAATTTGCCCCCCCCGCAAATATAAAACAGACACAGCTGGATGGATGCTGAAAAGATTTGTTTGGTTATGATCATGATATGAATACAAACTATAAAATGTCCTTGAAGCAGTGCGAGTGATGCAAAGGAAGAGAAGAAGACAATAAAGAGGAAGAAGAAGAAAAGAAGACAGAGAAAAGAAGAGAGAGAAGGAAAAGAAAGAGAAGGAAATTCTTTGTGTTATTTTTGTTATTACCCCACACTGTTTTGGTTGATCCAGTCTACAGCCCTCTTCAATTGTGTACAATCTGTTAGGAAAGAGAGCAATAATCCTGGGAAACTGAAGGAAGAATTTAGTGATGTACATGCCACTTCCAAAGTAACCACTACTTATTCTATATTATTTCAAAGACAATGAATTAGTAAGATCAGACCTTGAAACACCTTTGTAACTCGATAAAAAGAATATCTGTTAAAGTAACAGACATAGATGTTATTTAACACAAAGAGAAGCAAAATAATTGTTGTGAGGGAGACTATTTCCATACAAGTTTGGACTTGACCATTGGGTGAAAGACATAAAAATATGCCTACATCAAGAGGAGTAGCAGCAGTAGCTTTTGCTGAAAACAGTCATTCACAGATAAACATTCTCTTGCCTAGTTTCTATTCTACATTATGTTTCCCTGTACCAAAATGTAATAAACTTGTTACACTAATTCTGGTTTTCTACTGTTGTTTTTGATAACTCAGTTACAACAATAATTTAACAAAATAATAATTCAAAATTGAAGCAATAAAAAAAAAAAAACCTGACACATTACAATCAATAATTTAACAAAAGGTAAAAATGTCCACAAAATTGAACCTAAAAAAAAAATTCAATTGTGTTATATATATATATATATATATATATAATTAGAAAAATAATACATAGAGAATTCAGAAACCTAAGAAAAAAAAACCTTAACACAAAATTGAAAAAGGATAAACTTCCTTAAAATGAACAAGAAAATAAAAATACAGAAAACCTAATACTAATCCCAAGAGGTCAAATCATCCTCCCTCTATAATTAGCATATACCTTCATTAATTGAAAAAGAAAAGAAGAATTATTCTATAAAAACACAGGAACCAATAAAGAAGAACTCAAACACAGGTATGGAATAACACAGATATATTACAAACAGGATTATATACAGAGAAGTAGAAGTGTTAGTATGAACAATCAGGTTTAGTAGAGAGAACAATGTAGTCTTGACCAGTATCACTATTCTAATGTCTTGCAGTAATTGTCTGAATGCGACTCTGTTTAGGACTGCCTCTGACTTGACTCTTGACTTGACTTGAACTACTGACTTCCAGTAAACTTAGCAAGATTTTTAATAAAAACACCCTGTTACCAAGTTACAGTTGTACTGAAAATTTAGAAAGAATTATAAAAAAACATAATAAAATATTGAAAAAATACGCATGCCAAAATCAAATAAATAAAGATCCTAAAATGAAATTAAACAATAATTATGAAAAATTATGTAATTGTAGAAACCCTGAAAACTGCCCTTTGAATAAAAAATGTCACATAGAATCTGTAGTATACCAATGCACCATCTCATCTATTGAGAATCCAAATACTGAATAGATATATATAGGATCCACAAGAAATGAATTTAAAATTTGGTGGAGACAACACCAAAGTTCCTTCAACAATATAAGAAACAGAAACAAAACATCTCTATCTAAATATTTTTGACATTTAAAAGAAACAAATAAAACACAAACAGTAAAACGGAAAATAATAAATAGGACAAGAACTTGTAGAACCTGGGATGACCCATGCCCTTTATGCCTACATGAAAAACTACATATTATCAATTTCTAAAAAACAAAAATTTATTAAATCAAAGAAATGAAATAATGTTATTTTGCAGACACCGCCAAATACATGCCTTAAAAAATTAGTAATTTATAAATGGATAGAAAAAATTTTTTTACAATAGGAATTAAATCCTAAAATATATATAAAACAATTACGCAATACCATTTTAAAATCTATTAGCAAATTAAATTAATTTCAGACATGTATAAAACTATAGAATAAAAAATACAACCCAATCATATCTAAGCACCCCTTTAAGAAATCATCAATGAAAAAACAAATAAATTAACACCCAAATAAAACTGTAACTATGACATTAGTTAATAAGTTTTAACAAATAGTAATAAAAACAACAGAGCCTGGGAAAAAAAGACCATTGTAGCCAGACAAAAATCCCCCAACCAAACTTTACATGACTTCAAAAAATTTGACATATAATAAACATTCATATTTTCATCACAGTAGTGACCCCTTTATAATGAAAAAAAAAACCCAGATTACACCATTTCCAACCTACAAATGAGTAAAACATTTCTTCAGTTAGTTATTCTAAACATCGCTTGAGAATGAAACTGCACTCTAAAATGAAATGAAACTTTAGTACTTGAGTCAAGTTTTGAGAAACATAATAATTTCTGTAATCATATTTTAAAAAAAAAATAATTATAATATATATTTTCTAAAGTTAATTGCTGTTAGACATTAACAATTAATCAGAGTTGAAAAAGTTATTCAACAAAAACAATATGAAGGTGAGCACCAATACTATAGTAAAATGATCAGACTATAATGGAAAAATAATGGAGGGGGTGTGATAGCAAGGAAGTCTGCAGATGTAACTGCTGAGTAAAAGAGTAATGTCCTTTGAACAGAGCGTGTTTAGTAAGGGATATTGTTTATGAAGCTAAGGCGATTAGTGAAAGAAAGACAAAATATTACATAGGAGCTGCTGAGGTTGATTGGAAAAGATGCTTCTACAATCATGAGTTTGAGCAACAGAAAATACAAAAGGTAGTACTGCTCTTTTTACCTACTATTGGGATGTTATCAGCAGCAGAAAAAAGCACCAACCATCACATGGAAAATGCTAGCTAAAATCAGAACATGTAGTTGGAGGTTATAATTTGTACCTAAACGAAAAATTACTAATTCTACAGCAAATAGGTGACTAGCTGTTAAACAAGAGAAATGAACTGATGGCTGTATGTAGGCATAAGAATTAATACTTAATTAAAAACATCCGGGGTAGTGAATACCTGCTACCTTGGATATTATAAATCAAATTATAACTATTGGTTTCATATGATGATTGTTACCACATGAAGCTGATTAGTGGATTTTGATATAATTGTATTAATAATATTATATTTAAGCACTGACATGTTTGACATTGAGCTCTCAATTTTTTAATATTTTAAGCTTTTAGCTTATATTTTGAGAGAGAGAGAGAGAGAGAAAACAGACACATACAATAAATTGAACCTTGATACTCTCTGTGGGTGCATGGTCTAAAGTAGATATGTCAAATTGAGGGTTCCCTGAGGGTGACACACTCATGTTGTCATGAGGGCCACACATGACAGCCAATTGTGCACATTACAACTAATCAGTCATTTAATAAAATTTATTGCAAAATAAATTTTATTACTTAAATTTAGAAATTTTTAGCAGGATTCATATATACAAAGTAATGAAGTAGTTTGATAAAAAAAATAAAATTTTAAACAACATGTAGTTTGCAACAGCAACAAATACATTGTACAAAACTTACTAAACATTTATTTGCCACTACACAGTCAGTTTGAGGTTTTTGTCTTTACTCCTCTTTTTGCTGACAATTTTTGGTATGTTTGTCTGAAATGTCTGTGCAGTTCCAACTTTGATCCGAGATGACAAATGTTGATCAGTTAGCCTTGTTCTCCGAGAGGTTTTTTGCTGATTTCATGAAGGAAAATAACTGTTCACATACATAGCTAGAATCAAACATTGCCATAATCTTTGTGGAAAACTTTCTGAAGTTTTTAAACTTTTCAGGAAAGAATGAAAAGAAACTAGGTATTGCTACTTTAAAATACTTTGTTCTGAGTGTAAAATCTGACTGTATTTCTAATAGTTCCATCTGCAGGCTTTCTTTTGTCTTGGCAACATCAAAGGCGAATGGTGCTGTGAATAATGCAAACTGATGTTCAAAAGATGAGAAATCACTAAATCTTTTCTGAAATTCCTTTGACAACAATTCCAAGTGACTGTCATACTTAGCAAAGATAAGTACAGTCTTGGTACTGGCAGTTTTTTTTTTTTTTTAGCTCTTTGCATGTAGGAAAATAAACAAAATTTTCATTAGACAAATATGACTTCCATGAGCTTAGTTTTGTTATGAAGCACTTGATGTCATCATACAAATGAGTGATAAGTTTGTTTTTACATTGTACTTTCAAATTAAGATCAGTTAATTGTGCTGTAATAACCACAGCAAAAGCCAAATCTTGGAGCCAACTTTCATTTTTATTTCATCTGTGTGTTTTGATCTTTCATCTCCCAAAACAATTATTTCTTGTCTCAACAAATAGAATCTTTTCAGCACTTTGTGACATGACAACCAGCGGACTTCTGTGTAGAATGGAACATCGGTGAACTGATTATCCATATCTTCTAACGATTGACTGAACTGACGGTGGTTGAAAGTACGGCTCTGATATAGTTCACGGTCTTTGTGATCAAGCTAAGCACATGATCCAATTTTAAAATTATTGTTTGATGGCTGGTAGCATGGCTACTAGAGAGAATTTATTCCCACACTATTTTCTCAGTCACCAAGAATATTGAATATTTGTTACAATTTTTAAATCATTACTTAGTACCATACTAAAAGTTTGTTGATAATATTAAACTTATTTTAAATAGATTTATGCAGTAAATGGTATTCTTATTTGGTATTCAATTAAAATAAATCAAAATGAAAAATGTGATTTATTTTTTTAAATTACAAAAACTTTCTCATTTTGGCCATTAAATGACAAAATTAGTATCCTTTGTGTCGGCTGCAGGTATGCTTGTAAAGGGCTGCATGTTTCACATTCCTGGTCTAAAGCATGCCAAATCAGTGGTTTCTCCTACACAAAAGGGACACAACCCAGCAGACATAATTCACACTGTATACAAAAGGGCACCTACCCAAGCATAGGCATCCACAAAATAACATTTTAAGTAGTAGGATATATATAAGTACAGGGTTGGTACAGATGGAATAAAATGGTACAAAAATCAAGTGATGGTGTTGATTGCAATCAATACCATCATTTGATAAGACACCAGTAATGTTGAAACAAAAGTGCAATTTTTGTAGTGATGTTATAATATGCATATGTTATAATTTTGAATATTATATGTGTGTGTGTGTGTGCACATGTGTTTGGTGGTGTTGCATCACCAAGTCATTAGAATGTTCACTTTCTGACCATGATACCTAGGTCTGAATCTCACCAAGGACAATTTGTCAGGGTGGTGACTTCTTGATGTTATTCACAGGGAAGGTGATCGTAGCATGTGTCACAATTTGAAAGTGATTGAAAACCATATCAAAGGTTGACTCAAGACTTGTTAGTGGAACTGTAACTAAAATTCATTCATTATAGTTTCAGTATAAACTACTGATGGGCTCTCTGGGTGTTGAAAAAAGCACAAATGTACCTGAGCAGGCATCTGCAACAGAGATTGACTAATCAAACTATCAAACACGTAAGCACAGAAACTAGTAATGGGATATTTTTATATATATATATATATATATATATATATATATATATATATATATGTTATGTATTTAGAGAGTCTTGATAAAATACAAAGAAGAATCTGCAATGTTATTGATCCTAACCTGGCATCTCAGTTTCAATCACTTTCCTACCACCATAACATAGCTTCCCAGTGCCTTTTTGATATTAGGTTGGTGCAAAAATAATGACGTAATAATATCGTTTTTGACGTTAAAAATACGTCACAAAACGACATTATTACGTCATTATTTTTGCACCAACCTAATATTTTCATGATAATTGTTCTGATGAGCTTTCCTTTTTGGTACCTTGAATTTACAAATTTAAGTGCATAATAGATTGGTGATAAGGTCTCATCTTACAGTTGAAATTACTAGATGTAACTGTAAGTTCCATGCTAATATTAGGTTGGTGCAAAAATAATGATGTAAGAATGTCGTTTTTTGACGTTAAAAAATATGTCAAAAAACGACATTATTATGTCATTATTTTTGCACCAACCTCATAGTTTCTTCTTTTGCACTTTTTGTTTGAGGAACTCTTTGAATTCTTGTTTTCCAGTCAACTTTGATTTTCAATTGCAATATCAGTCGTTATCTTCAGTCTTCTTAATTGCCGTTCTTTTATTGTCTGTTCTCCTTAATGTTTTCTTTTATCTGTATTCTCTCAACCCTTCTATCTTAGTGACTTTATTGCCATCCTTGGAGTGAAGTGATAAAAAAAAAAAGAAGCATTCTCATAATTCACCTTATTTCTGTGTGAAAGATAATAAATTTGAAAAAAGGAAAGTCAGCAGCTCTTTACTTGATTATTCCTAACAATATCATTTGTAGACAATACATCATAACTTACTAGAATTATCCCCACTCCTCAACATAAGAATTATTTGAGATTGCATTCATAACATCTGATGCAAATATGGAAAATATAATATATTTTCCCTTTAAAATTTGATTATTTAAGAGTGATTCTCGCATTAATTTTTTTTTAATCTAAAATTTATTTCCTTTATGGAGTGAGTAGCCATGGTTAAATGCAAAATAAGTGACAGAACTGCCCAACAAACAGCATTGACAAAGTTTGCAATAACAAGAAAAGAAAGGAACAGGCCCAAAATAATAGAAAGCAAGCAAGCAATATATGCAAGATAAATCAACAGTAATCTGGCAAAAAGTTAACAAACTAAGACTTGACGTCGGCACACTGATACTCGACTTCAAGACAAGACAGACTGGGACTGAGTCAGATGAAACCAAGATCCAGCCTATTTTAGTGGCGAGGAAAAGAATCCCAGCATGCATATGTGTGCTTCTGCCTATAAAATGG